AAGAACATGGCATAGTGTTGCTTATACATGATGCTGTACTTATTCAGGAATACCTCTTGAATGGAAATAATGAGGCTTTGTCACCTGATGAGAATTTATACACATCTCATTATTTCCTTTGTCAGAGCAGCCAAATGCTCAAGTGTATAGAAAAAAAGGAATATACCGTATATGCCGGCGTATTAGGCGACCCGGCGTATAAGACGACCCCCGAGTTCGACGCCGGGTCGCAAGACGATCGACGCCGAGTCACATATAAGACGACTTTCTAGGCATGCGACTCGGCGTCGATCATCTTATACGCCGGAAATGACGTCATTTCCGGCGTATAAGATGACTTTCTAGGCATGCGACTCGGTGTCGATCATCTTATACGCCGGAAATAACGTCATTTCCGGCGTATAAGATGATAGACACCGAGTCGCAAGCCTAGAAAGTCATCTTATACGCCGGAAATAAACGTAGTTTATAACGTTATTTCCGGCGTATAAGATGACTTTCTAGGCATGCGACTCGGTGTCGATCATCTTATACACCGGAAATGACGTCATTTCCGGCGTATAAGATGATCGACACCGAGTCGTATGCCTAGAACGTCATCTTATACGCCGGAAATAATAAATAAATAAATAAACGTTATGACTCGGCGTATAAGACGACCCCCGAGTTCGGAGGCTGTTTCATCGCTCTCAAAAGTCGTCTTATACGCCGGAATATACGGTATATTAATTTTTCCCTTAGGACTTTTGCTTCACTTCATATTCAAACATATGGTTCAAAAGCTGGCTACAGTACATGCCTCAGTGAATGGTAGCAGCATTCATTCAAGTCAGAACAGATTTTGTTTACATCTATTTGACCCTGAATTTTTTTTACAAAAACTTTTAGTTTGTGGCATGATATATCTTATCTGGAATATCTAGGCAAGCAAATTTATCCACAAGAGCATTGCAAAAGATGTATTCTTTTTCCTCCAGTACAGTGGTTCTCAACCTGTGGGTTGGGACCCCATTTGGGGTCGAACGACCATTTCATGGGGGTCACCAAACAAGGCTGTCCGCCATTTTTTCCCCCTTTTCTTTGGCCACACCCCTGGCACCCGGTGATGTATAAGTGGTTGGGGGTCACCACAACATCGGGAACTGTATTATGGGGTCGTGGCATTAGAATGGTTGAAAACCACTGCTCCAGTAGGACTCAGAGTGAATCATGGGAAGGCTACACTGGCTTCCACAGTATGAAATTTGTCATTTCATGGTAATTGCAGCTTCCAAGACAGCTTGAAGAATATTTTCCTAAGCAAAATAATCAAGAAAAAGGATTATTCCCTCTACTTTGTCCAGTGGCCCTAATCCAGTCCAGTGCACCCTGCGAAGGTTAAGAAATGTGATAATCTAAAAGAACTATCCAATTATTACAAGCATGTTTCTCTTTCTTCTTTCTTCCCCTTTTCTTTTTGAATTGAGCTTGATCATTATTTTAATTTTTTTAAATGCTCTGTGAGCTATTTTGAAAAATCCTTTGTAGAAGCAGATATAAACCTAATATGACGTGACTTCTTCCTAATAGAAAATGCTTAAAGTGAAAGATTATCCCATGATTTGTCTAATACATTTACAACACAATGATAATTTTAAAGCATTGGTGTTGTATATCAATCCTTACAATTGAATTTTGCACCTTGTTATTACTTTGAAAAGGTTCTACATTTAGGCAAGAAAAACCAAATGCACAAGTACAGCATAGGTGGCACCATGCTCAATAGTAGTAACTGTGAGAGGGACCTCGGAGTCCTAGTAGACAATCACTTAAATATGAGCCAGCAGTGTGCTGCAGCTGCCAAAAAGGCCCACACAGTGCTAGGCTGCATTAACAGAGGGATAGAATCCAGATCACGTGAAGTATTAATACCACTCTTCAATGCCTTGGTAAGGCCACACTTGGAATACTGCATCCAGTTTGGTCACCACGATGTAAAAAAGATGTTGAGACTCTAGAAAGAGTACAGAGAAGAGCAACAAAGATGATTAGGGGACTGGAGGCTAAAACATATAAGGAACGGTTGCTGGAATTGGGTATGTCTAGTTTAACAAAGAGAAGGACAAGGGGGGACATGAGAGCAGTATTCCAATATCTCAGGGGCTGCCATAAAGAAGAGGGAATTAAGCTATTTTCCAAGCACCTGAAGGCAGGACAAGAAGCAACGGGTGGAAACTCATCAAGGAGAGAAGCAACCTAGAACTAAGGAGAAACTTCCTGACAGTGAGAACAATTAATCAGTGGAACAGCGTGCCTCCAGAAGCAGTAAATGCTCCAACCCTGGAAGTTTTTAAGAAGAGACTGGACAGCCATTTGTCCGAAATGGTGTAGGGTTTCCTGCCCGAGCAGGGAGTTGGACTAGATGACCTCCAAGGTCCCTTCCAACTTTACTACTATTACTATTACCTTTGCTCCCTTGTGCAAAATGCAGTGGTCGGCACATAGTACATGCCACAACACTTCCATCATCTAGGACAGAATTTCTAACTCATCTATTTTTAGAGGCCCTGACTTTGCAAGACTTATTGCAGTGTGTAGACCATAAGCAAGATTTTGTTAGCCTTGTATTTTTCCTAATACAAACCAAGAGTAAAGCATATAAAACTTCTTAGTTTTAAAAAGTTTATTTAAAAATCTCCTTTGTCCTTCCTACTGTGACAGAAAGTTTCCCTCCTTGCCAATTCAAATTATGCTTTAGGAAACATAAATAATTGTCAAATCGCACAATAATTGACTTTGGTTCATGTAAAGTATACAATTTCATAGGCATAATATCCAAGTTGCATATAAGGCATATTGCCATTATTAAACTGACTTTCAGAGACTTTAAACACATTTCATGTATATCATTTGCAAGGAGGTGACTGTGTATAATTTTTAATATTTTATAGAGGGTCATGAGGGATGGCACAAGAAAAACCTCCCAAGAAGAAGAAACAGGCACAAACATTATTGCAACAGAAAACAGTAGGATATTTCCTATCTAAATAACAGCTGTGAAGCGTCCTATTTTCACAGGGAAAGGCTTTGATGCTGTATTCACAAACAATTGTTTACATGCCAAAAAGAAAGTAAAGAAATATGCAGTGGTGGGATTCAGCCAGTTCGCATCAGTTCGTCAGAACTGGCAGCTAATTTTTTGTTTGCCCAGGCCCAGAATGGATTTCCGGAAGTGGCATCCATACAGAGAACCGGTTGTTTGCATATTTGAATCCCACCACCAGAAATATGTTTATTGCACAGAAACATGTTTGTTGCACTTAACACACATTTAAGGAAATAACTCTTCACCTCCTCATCATAATTTTGTATTTTCCATACAAAATACTTTACAAGTGGGTCTGAAGTTACTGATATTTTTCATTCAAATATACAGATTGCTTGCCAGGAATAGGAGTTATCACATATTTTATGGAATTAAACTTTATCAACTCTAATAAACAACAGTTCATTTAGTGACTGTTGGAAGTTATAATGGCACTGAAAAAAGTGTCTTATGACCATTTTTCACACTTATGACTTTTGCAGCATCCCCAGGGTGATGTGATCAAAGTTCAAGTGACTTAGATTTATGACAGTTGCAACGTCCAAAAGTCATGTCATCACTTTTTGCAACCCTCTGACAAGCAAAGTCAATGGGGGAAGCCAGATCCACTTAACAACTGGGTTACTAACTTAACAACTGCAGTGATTCACTTATCAGCTGTGGCAAAAAAAGGTCATAAAATGGTGCAAAACTCACTTAACAAATGTCTCACTTAGCAAGATAAATTTTGGGCTCAATTGTGGATGTAAGTCCAGCACTACCTGTATTTCTCCCAGTCACAGCTGCAAGGAAAATCCATGCTCACAGGCCAAGATGTTCTACATTGTTGTCCTATGTCTCTTTTATAGTCATGCAAGCTACCATTCTGATTAAATCCCTATTTTAAAAAAGCAGGCATAATAGACAAACTGCTAGTTTGGTGTATTAATTAATGTATCAGGCTAGAAACTTCAAGAAAGATCATGAGTTCTAATCATGCCTTTGGCACAAAGCCAGTTGGGTGACTTTGGTCCAGTTACTCTCTCTCTGCATTAGGAAGGAGGTAAGGGCAAACCACTTCCAAAACTATCTTGCAAGAAAATTTCAGGGATTAATCCAAGCAATCAGCAGGCTCAAAGGTGCATACACACATAAACGCCCAATAAATTTTACAAATAGAGCTGCTATCCCATTCATAGTTACTTGGGAATTGGTTCTGTATTTCAGGGTATTAAAAGTGGCCTGAGGTCAGAATATTCATTTTCTCTTATGATTCTCCATCCCCTGACAAGGGATACTTGCAAGCCTTGTTATGACCTCATTTGCTTCCAGAGCAATAAGGGTCTGTCACTTACTTAGGCATGAGGGCGAGGTGGTTGAACGAGTCAAGACAGCAGCGGTATGATTGAAGTGCTGCCACCTTTTGCACCCTTTTGCCCAACATTCCCCTTCCAGGTGCTTTATAAATGACAGGATTCAGAATTGTCAGCAGAAAGGGGGTCAAAAAGGTCAAGATGGCAGGCCCACTCATGCAACCAACTAAGTTGCTGGACAAGGAGATGGGTGGCATGGACATTTAATACATAAATAAAAGCCCCATTCTTTTTTTATATGTGCCGCAATACACATGAAAAGATATACAGATACTTTGGATAGTGAGATGGGTATAAAATGTGTGTGTGTGTGTGTGTGTCTGTCTGTCTGCCTGCCTGTCTGTCTGTCTCTCTGTATACACATACATATACTAGTCCGACTTACAATAATTTGTTTGGTGACTATTCAGAGTTACAACTGCACTGAAAAAGTGACTTACTTGTTTTAAGTCCTCACACTTATGAGCATCACAGCTTTCATTTAACAACTGCAGTGATTCACTTAACTATCATGGTAAAAAAAATATCATAACGTTAGGCACAAATGACTTAACCACCTTGCTTAGTAACAGAAATTCTGGTCCCAATTGTGGCCATAAGTCAAGGACTATCTGTATATCACACACATACACACAAACGTGTACACACACACGTAAACATTAACCAAGAAAGGTGAGTTCATATAACTTAACAAAAATGAGATTTATAATGCATTTTAAAGGGAAGCCATTGTGGCCTTTGTCATGGAAGAAAACAAGCAGAGTCTTTTCAGTAGTTTGTATTTGTCATGAATGCAAGAGGTACTTTCCATTTCTTTAATGGCCTCAACTTCATTATCCATAGCTGTTCAGTTTAATAGTTTCTCATTACAGTAGCAGATGTGTTTAAGTGGCACTTCAGCGCAAACAAAACACAATGAACTTGGTGCTTGTTTTATTTTTATTTTATACCACAAGATGTTCGTTCCTCAGGGATTCCGGAAACCTCTTTCCAGCCATACTAGTTATACTCCATTTCTTCCATTACTACATTTCAGTTGTCTTTGGTGTTAAGTCTGAACTCTATATATGAAGAGACAGAAAAGACTTAATGATTTTATACATTGTAACCAAAAGGCTATGGCCTACAAATTGCAATGTTGTTGTTAGAGGCAATTTTACCAGAACTATAGCTTTGAATTTCTGCTTGCAACACTTTAAATCTGGGTGAAGCCTAACGATACATTTATTTTAAGATCCATTCTTCATTCATTTTGTTTATGTGACCAAAATCATACATAGTTTCACATTGGTCCCTCATCTTTGAATTCAATCCATATTCATTCATCATAAATTCATTCTTGATTTTACTCCTCCTTGGATTACCACATACATTTACTTTATTATTTCTCATATACATTGCACTTTAGGTATTTCTTAACATACTCATTTCCATATAACTGGGGGAAAGATATGCTCTTTTACATTACCATTTTTGCTTCTTTTGCTATATGTTCCTTTCCCGTGCTATTCACCAGCTATAGTATCAGTATTTGTATGCTTTAAGATTTCTCCAAATATTTTTCCATCTTTAGTAATCATTCTGTTACTTTCATCTGCTTGCTCCAGCTTTTTGTCATTCATTTTTAACTTGCTATTGTCCATTTTCCTTGTCAGATACAATTAATGAATCTTTGATACATTGATTGACAGAACCCTATTCCTTGCTGCATCACACAATCTGTTTAACATTCACTTCAAATCATTTCCATTCTCAGCCAACAATATGGCAGCCAATGGAAGTTGATTTTGATTACAACAGTCTGGACAATAAAGAGTAACTAGGTAAATAAATAAATGTCTCCAGACAAAGCTACACATTCACCATAAGCCACTGAATAAAGCAGCTCAGCCACAGAAGTTGCAATGTGGCTGGGAGGTTGTTATACAAGCAGTAATCTCACTTGGCCCCTATGGCCTAATGTCCCAAACAAGATCTCCTATCTGATTTTCTGCAAAGAAATGTCCCTGGAAGCCACCAGAAGTATCATTAGCTATATCCCCTCCAGTGTCCCAAAATCTCATCCGATACCACACCCAAACCCCAGGTAAGTACATTTACAAGAGGGGAACCACCACCAGCAGTCCACCCAGCTAGCTCTCTGTAGTACACCCCTGATCTACTCTTTGTCACATCTGTGATTATGAGGGACCATCAAAGTTGCAATGACCAGACCTCAAGGCTGAGCATAGGGGTCTCTAACATGGCTAACATGAAACAGTGCCAAACACCAAGGCTGTCTTACATGTTAGCAGCTGTTTCTCCCATTGCAGTCTTATATGGTACATTTTTCTTCATGACCTGCTTATTGCAGCCAACAACCAACCATACTTGTGCAAAACATTGCTAAGACTAGATAGTTATTCTAAATTAGCACATAACCAATAAACTTTATTTTTTATATTATTCATATTTTTCATTCTTCTTAGTGAATAATTTATTGAATAACTTGTTCAAAGCCTCCTACCACTGCCTGATTCAAGATGGAACTCAGTGCATGTTTATGTGGGAGCAGATTTTTCTGAACACCCTCCAATTCATTGCTAAATAAATGAGAAAAAGGTTCGATCGGAAAGACCTGTGTATTGTAGAAACTTGTTTTGTTTGTAATCAATCAATATCAAATGTCAAGTTATCTTTTTGATAAAATATTTGGTCTACTTGCTTACCTTTAACATTGTACTATGAAGAGTGCTAAGTTCAGTTTACGCTCTTTTACAAATATTAGCAAACATAATTGTGAAATTCAGAGATAATAAGACTTTTATGAAGCTGATTCCCTTATTTATAGCAAAATTTGCATCCCACTATAGAACTTTGTCTTCTCATCAAGATTTTTGTTGCAATTAGCATTCCTTTTCAGTATTCTGAAATTGTATTTCCTTCTCAGTATTCAGTCATTTCTATGACTGTTCTAGTTATTTTTTCTTAGGTTACAGGTTACATTCAAAGTAACCTGCTGTGCTTTTCAACTAAATCTCATTACTTTCTGTTTTATTGAAGGCTTTTTAAAAAAGCCTATTTTTATCCCATCTTTATTATTTTTATAAATAATGCAAGGTGTGAATATATTCCTTCCTTTTCCTATTTTTAGTTGATCCTCCATGAAACTGCTACTGAAAGATGGTTCAGTTGAAGAATTGCAGCATATATTATAAAATACAGTACAGTAACATGAAAAGGAGCCTGAACTTGCTTCACTTACTTTTTAACTTAAAATGAGCTTATTATAGATATTGCTTGCATTCCTTGTTTCTAATTTGTTCTGATTTACTGTTAAATTTAAAATTTATTTAATATGGTCTCCAGAGGAATAATGGCATTAGTGTTTTGCAGAAAAAACAACAAAGAATTTCATAGAACTTTAAAAATTAACACATTTATTTGTAGTCTTTAGGATGCCCCAAGACTCCTTGTGTTTCTGTCCGTACTGTGATAAACGACAGGTTGCAGTCTCACTGGCTGGCAAAGAAAAGCATGAAGAAAATTAATAAAATTTATAAATGAAGTGGGATTATATTGATACTAGATTACAATTCATCATTTTATATAGAGACCCAGTGTTGTATGGTGATTACAATGTTGGAACAGGAATGGAAAGACCCATTCTTAGCCATGAAACCTATTTGGAATCAATCCTAATTCTGAATATAGCCTACCTACCAATGTTGTAGGAATAAAACAAAAGGAGATTTCCATGGGAAGCAGACAAGTGTAAAATGAATTTACACTTGATGAATATGAATTTGAATCGAATAAAGAAAAATCTACAATAGTTATTGAAAAGTTTACAAAATTGAATCACTGTTAAATTATGTGGATTCATTTGAAGAATTAAATGAAAAAAATGTCTTAAATTGTGTTGAAATATAAGCTCACGTACACCAATAAAAATTTTATATTCATTTGAAACAAATCCCTAAAGTGCTAAGTTATTATAGGTCTTGGACATTTGTCCTTCTGAGCTTGACTGAGATCACTATTTTGGATATTCATGGTCCTTCCTTCCTTCCTTCTTTCTTTTCATGTGGAAGACTGGTACTGGAACTGATTTTATCACGGCTCCCAGATTATCTGGACAAAGAATATTGTTGTGTGAGCTTCATCATATGGGAAAAATGCGCCCTAAATCAATACTAATATAATAGCTTTATAGATCTTGGACTATGTTGGAACTAGCATGGCCCTAGCTCTTCTATTTCACCTTAAACCACATATTTCATCCCTCCAAAATTATTAAAGGAAAATAAAGATTTGCAGGGCCCAACACTGGTTGCTTTATTTATTTATATTAACACTGCAGCATGATTTTTTACACCGAAGTGGAATGAGGCCATAGTCACCCTTTTCTATATGAATAAAGGAATATATTTGATCCTCACAGTTATAAATCCAGTTGCTTAGTACAATAAACAAGCTATATGCAAAATACATTTAATTAAAACTATTAGATTGGGTAAAAGTAAAAAAAATATATCCTTGCTGAGGAGCAGGCAAGATTTAAAGGAGAGGGTTCAACCTGAGATGACTATTTGGTCCTGCACCATTTCACCGAACAATACACCTTACTGCCTAAAAGCACCTTCTTGTAACTTTTGTGGATTTCAAAACTGTCTTTGACACCAAAGAAGTCGTCAGTGGATAAAAGATTGTTCCTTCTTATCTTTAAACTAACACTTGGCGCCTTCTTTCTGGAATTGTTCCTGCCCAAAGAGAGGAGGGCAAGGGTACGCTTTAATCCCTGTATATTTCTAATATGTATATTAATTCAATAATTAAGGCTCCCATGTCATCTGCTCACCATTCTCCATTGTTAGCAGATTATGCAATTCCAGCTTTCTTATTTGCAGAAGGGCAAGTAATTTTGTCTGTCTCCAAAGTGGAAATGAGAAGGCCATTGTGGCCATAGGCTTCCTTTAGCCTAAAAAAACAATTTGCAATAAATTTGCAAGTGTTAATTTTTGCACAACACAATGATAGCATGCCTACCTGGCAAATTAACAGGTAGCAGAAGCATAATTGTAAATATCTTTGGGTATAGTTCCAGGCACGCTTATCTTGGATTATCCATTTGTCCTAGTGGACCTCCTCAGCTGTTTTGAGACTGGGTTTTTTTCATTCAAAGGGAACATTTTATTTCCACAGCTTTAAGTTTAATACCCCAGTCCAAGTTTACAAGTTCTATTCTTACAGTTTTGAGATGCATCAAGAATGCTGCCTTATGGTTAAAACCAGGTTAGGTTTCTGGTACTATCCCAGTAATTTCTGGTTATTTCCCCTCCCCTCCCCTGTGGATCTGATCCACCTGGTTCTCATAGACCACTTTTAATCCACCTGGCTAACGAGTATAGCAAGCTCCAGACTTTAGGTCTCTCTTTGGAAACTGATTGGCCATAAGAATTTTAAAATGCCAGGAGTCATCATAGCTACTGTAATTGGGATATTCACTTCCAAACCAACCTAAGGCTAGTAGACAATCCCACAGTCCATGGATTTTTTTCTTCAAATGGGAATGTGAAATTTCACTAGGCCTTCTTTCACCTTGGCCAGGTTGGACATACCACCCCATCCCATAGTCCTGTGGGGGTCCCCCAGAAACAGCACACATGCCTGTCTGGAGACAGGCTCCCTGAATTGCCCCAGTTCCTCTGTTGCTCTCCTTACACTACAGGAAATCTTGGACGACATTCATCTATCCCAGTGGTGGCGAGCCTATGGCACGGGTGCCAGAGGCAGCACTCAGAGCCCTCTCTGTGGGCATGCGCGCTGTCGCCCCAGTCCTAGGCCTTCAGCTGGGTTTTATAAAACCTTTTCATTTTAGGCCTCTACCGCTGTGTGCAAAAAAACAAAAGATTCAATCAATCAATCAATCAATTTCATTTCTCGCAGGAAAAAAATCTTACAAAGTTGGAATTGATTGAACTTTTTAGTCGCACCCAGTCTGCCGTTACCACCGTAGCCACGCCCACCCAATGGGCCACACCTACCCAATGGGCCACACCTACCCGGCACCCGACGATGCATAAGTGGGTTTTGGTTGCAGTTTGGGCACTCAGTCTCTAAAAGGTTTCACCATCACTGATCTATCCCATTTTAAAGAAATACTCAGGCAGAGAGCATGAAACATATTTGTCACATTGTCTATCTGGCTGAGGTTCTGACAAATCTTCCCAGATTGCCAGATTATGTACCTCTGTTTTTCTATTCCTCCCAACTACAACTGAAGATTAGTGCTAGTGGGGATAACCACTGTTAGTAGTATTTTTTAATTAATATGATAATGTTATGTTTTGCATTTTATGCCTACTTTTTATTCATATTGACAATTTTAAATGTATGGGTTTCTATATAGTCTTAAGATCATGATAAAAGTTCATTGTTCATCTTTGAAGTTGCTGACATGCAGATATGGGGGGAGGGGGGAGAGAGAAAGAACATACTCTTTAATATGCATCAGTTAGTTAACACTTCATCTAGCAGCTCTATGCAGTAATAAGATTATTTCTATGACATCAGTCATAACAGCTTATAACTAATTTGCACTTCTTTAAAATGTTTACTTTATCATGTATGCTAATAATACAAGTCTGCATTGCAGTCTAATGTAATGTAATTTATTTATATCCTGCCTTATTACTTTTATAAATAAGGCAGCAAACATACGTATTTTCCGACGTATAAGACGACTTTCTAAAGCGTTGAAAATGGCGCTGAAGTTGGGGGTTGTCTTATACGCCGGGTCATCTTATACGCTGGAAATTACGGTAGTTTCTGGCGTATAAGACGACTTTCTAGGCATGGAAATCGGTGCCAAAGACGGGAGTCATCTTATACGCCAAGTTGCCTTATATGCCGGAAAATAAAGTACATTATACTCCTTCCTCCCCCTATATGGCCCACAACAACAACCCTGTGAAATGAGTTGTGGGCTGAAAAAGAAAGAAAGACTTACCTAACATCACTCAGCCAGCTTTCAGAATATAATGCTATACCATAGAAAAAAGGAGCAAAAAGTTAAATATAAGGAATGATTCTGTTGTACTGGGATAGCTATGTAACTTTCAATTATTCCTCATTTCCATAGATCAGGCCATTGCAGCTGATCACATATCCCAGCGAAATTCAATGAGTCTGATGTATGTTAACTGTGAAAGACTCCTGGGTGCAAATATTCCACCCATGTATGATTTGGATTTGGATTCCAGCTTTTAAGCTCTGCCTAATGTTTTGCTTTGGGGAAATCACTTAAAAACCTAATGACAGGCCTGAAAGGCAGTTCATTATTGATTTATTTTGACACAGAAGTGCAAGCAGAATAGTTAAAGTGGTATTAACTGTATTAAGCAAAATAAAAGACTGCAGAATTGCACAGACATTTCTACCAACTGAAGATATTCCTCCCTTGGCTGGAACTGGGCAGCTTCAGGCAGATTTGGAATTCACCCAAAGTAGGATGAAAGCACTCAAATTGTTCCAGAGTAAATCTGATTTCCCTTGAAGCTTTCAGAGAAATTTGGTGCGATGTAGCATATAAAAAGTACATGATATATACAGTACCTCCTTTTTTTTTCCTCCTCCACCAGAAAATGTACCTGGAGTGGTACTTTTCCAAAGAATTGTTCCCAACTCCCAAATTCATTTTGGCAGGGAATCATCTTTACAGTACCTCTATTCGCAAGGCGGGAGAATGCCGTGGAATGATTGGCTGACACTGTCCCTACCAGGGGACTATAAAAGAGCCTGTACCATTTTATTCGTTGTTCTGTTGGTGAATTGAATAAAGGAAGACTGGTCTTTGTTACTCAATCGCGAGAGCGATTGTGGGTGCACCAAGGTACACCCACGTGTCACCTATCCTCCGTGAGCTGCACTGGCTTCTTGTGGGTCTCCGGACGCAATTCAAGGTGTTGGTTATCACCTTTAAAGCCCTTCATGGCTTAGGACCAGGTTACTTACAGGACCGCATACTGCTGCATAGTTCCCAGAGACCGGTGAGGTCCCACAGATTGGGCCTCCTTCAGGTCCCGTCGGCCAGACAATGTCGGCTGGTGGGCCCTCGGGGAAGGGCCTTTTCTGTGGTGGCTCCGACCTGGTGGAATCAACTTCCCCCTGAGATTCGAACTACTCCCACCTTGCCGGCCTTTAAAAAAGCCATTAAAACTCTCCTGTTCCGGCAGGCCTGGGGTTGATGTCCCCGGGGGGGCCGGGATATGACTGGACACGCTGTATGAATGCACTTATTTTATTGTTTTATTGTTATATTTATTGTTTTAATTTTGTACGCCGCCCTGAGTCCCTAGGGATTGGGCGGCATATAAATTTTATTAATAAAATAAATAAATAAAATAAATAAATACTCTGCTTCATCTCCATGCCTCTTTTTTGTGAACAGAACATAAATATAGACAATTCCTACCTGTCTGGGTATTTTGTAATTAGAATATAGTTTCACATATGGTTAGAATTTGTTTAACTATTTTTGTTTAATGTGATAAGCCATATGGCCTACAAATCTCCATGGCTCCTTCCTGTGCCACATTGCATCAAGATCAAATTAATGGTGCAATCCTGTATCTGTGGCAACAACCAACAGCAGTACTGAACCATTCCAGGAATTATACTTGTCAAGACTTTTTCAATGAATGCTACTGCTACTGATAGTCCCAGCCCCCACCTCCACCCCAAGCAGGTGTTAAACACACACAAACACCAACCAGCATTTTCAGTCTGGCTGCTGATGGGGGGGGGGGCACTTGTGTGTTTCCTAATGGTGCTGGGCAGTAACTTACAATAGAGAGTTATATGTGAGCTGCAGTTTGTAGCTGGAGGTGAGGGGAAGAACTGGTCCGACTACTTTGGTTTCTCCTTTTGTGCAACTTAAAGCCTAAATAATAAACTTGGCTCACCTACTTTTTTTTTTTTTAAGAGCATCTCAAAGCATATTAAGGCAGGAGGGATAATACCCCATTTTGGCTGATCCTGAAAATGTTAAGTAGGGTTGGACCTGGTTAATATTTTTGGATGGGAGATCACTGGAAAATTCTAGGGCTGCTTATTGGACAGGGAAGTCAGAATGAGGACCTTGCAATGCCAACTCTTCACAAGAGCCCCAATGCAACTGAAGCTGCAGAAAATGGGGGGGAGATCGCATTCATCAATTTTGTGGAAAGTCAGGACATTGCTGTTCATCATCTCTATGGCATGTTAGAGGAAATTGAGATTTTTTTTTTTGGTAGCATTTAACTTTTCAGGGGAAATGGCTCAATCATTACAACTGAGTGAAGCTAGGAAATCACATAACTGCTAAAGGGAATATCAAAAAAGAAAAGAGATCAAGAATAAAATTAAAATTAAAACTAAAACTTGGGAAGGACTGCTTCTAAGACACTATTGTGCCATTGGTTCTTAAAAATAATACTGCAGTTCTGCCATTTTTGGGTTGTGTATATGAGGACCACATCAGAGAGAGATTCAGAGAAGTAATGCATGTTGAGTTAATACTCATGCCATTGGATGTGTGTTTTTCAACCTCTTCCTGTTAGAAATGCTCTAAGAAAAGAAGCTCTTGAAAGTGACAGATGGACTTCCAGCCCTTGTTTTTTACTGTAATGATGGAGATTGTATTGAGTTCCTTCAATCTTTCTTCTGTTCAGGTTTGGGAGGTTGACAAGAAGCCATAGGACAGTAAGGCAAGTGAGGTCCATACTGTTATGTCCTGAGCCTGTGCAAGCAGGCTCGGGGCATTGCAAGTGGTCCCGGGCAGGTGCAAGCTGCCCGGGACCAGACAGGCTGTCACCAGTACTTGTGCACATGCGCAAGTGCTGGCGCGCCAAAAGTTGCAGATTGACCCGGGAATGGCCTATAAAAGAGGACGGGAGTTTTGGGCGTCGTCGGCGTCTTGTACCTTGTATGCTGAACTGA